TATATATATGGTTATACTAGTTTACTTTTCCAAGGGTTATTTTTCTCACTGAATATGCTAGCTCTAAAAACATCAATGCTTGTAGATTCACATTACTGTTGCTCCCGTATTGCTAATATTTTACATTGTCTACTTAATACTCATTCTAAGCCAACCCCTTTCCTAGCATAATTTACTCTGGACCGCATACCTCTATTTATAAGCAAACAGTCTAATTCCCACTTTTCAAGTCAATTTTTGCCTCTATAGAATCTACAGTGGGGCCAGGGAGACAGCTCTGCAGCATAAGGGCCTACCAAGGTAGCACAAGGTCTAAAGTTTGATCCCTGGGGCACAGAATATAAAGTGAAATAAAATCCACAGTGGCTGGCTGTGGTAGCACCTGCCCATAACCGCAGCACTCAGGAAGTTGAGGCAGGACGACTGCAGTGAGCTTGAGGGCGGCCTGAGGTACACAGTGAACGCAAGCTAGCCTGAGTGGGAGATGTGTCTCAAAACCAAATCCATACAGAATCCCATCCTTCCTTTTGCAAGTTATTTTAGACTTTTACTCATGGGATAAGGTCTTCTAAAAAGTTTTTTGGGGCTGGAGAGATGGCTCAGTGGTCTAAAGCACCTACTTGAAACAAGCTTGGAAAAGCACAGGGACCGCGGTTCAATCCCCAGCACCACATTCCACCCAGCCCCGCCCCCTGGTGGGCTGAGCTGGCCACACACACACACAATAAATAAATGTAATAAATAAAAATAAAAAAAAAAAAAAATTAAAAAAAAAAGTTTTTTGGCTCAATAATTGGTATGTTCTTGATATTAATTTACAATCTAGGAAACAAACTCTGAGGGACCAAAACTGAAAACTAACTCGCCATTGCAACCATTTAACATGCTGAGATAGTCAATGATAAATAGCCATAGATATACATGTTTAAGTCTAGAAATCAAAATAGTATTTTGAGTAATCAAGAAATAAAACTGTTCAATTAAAAAAGTGACTGGACAATTAAATAGCATTAAGGAAAGCAATTCTGCCTTCTTCCATGTGTAAATGTAGCAGGAGGGTGCATTCTACAAGCTATGTATAGCAGCCCATTTTTTTTTTTTTTTTATTAGTTAACAACAGATTTGCGGGTATTTTGAAAGTACTGGAGATGGAACCTAGGCCCTTCACGGTGAGCTATATCCCCAGCTCTTTTTAAATTTTGAAACAGGGTCTTACTCAGTCACTCCATTACCCAGGCTGGCTTACACTTGGGATCGTCTTGCCTCAGCCTCCCAGAGTGCTGCGATTACAGGTGTATGCCACCATGACTGGCTAATAATGTTCTTTGGAGAGCTATATGTGAGCCACCAATGTAAATTACCACGTTAAATGCACCGTCTGACTGGGCATGGTGGTACAGGCCTGTAATTCCAGCACTTGGAAGGCTGAGGCAGGAAGATCACTGTGAGTTTAAGGCTAGCCTGGACTACATAGCAAGACTCTGTCTCAACAATAAGTTCACTGTCTGGTAGAGAATTCATACAGAAGGATGTAACTATAATCTAAAGCTTTATATATTAATTTCTAAAAGATACATGTTAAAAGCAGAATAGAAAGCTGAGCATAGTGCTACACACGGAGGTAGGAGGACCACAAGCTAAGGATGTCTTGGCAACTTAGTAAGATCCTATCTTGAAATAAAGTAAAAGGGGCTGGGAATATAGCTCCATGGTAGAGCAGCTGCCAAGCATGTGTGAGGCCCTGGTTCAATGTCTATACTACAACAAAAGCTGAAGGGAAATAAAGCAGGGAGAGACTGATTATAGGTGGGCAAACCAAGGAAAGCTTATAGAAAGTTGATGAGTTAGGTCTCAGGAGCTGAGAAAGTCAGGAGGACATGCAAAGGCTAAGGGGAACTTAGACCCCAAAGAGTAGAGTGTGGAAACTGCAGGTCTTGAATGGGGGTCTGCAGGTGGTCTCCACAGTAGCAGTCAGGCGAAAGGGTGTGTGTGCACTGCACGTACATGCACACAAGTATCCTCTTTTTTTTTTTTTTTTTTTTTTTTGGTAGAACCGGGGATTGAACTCAGGCCCTTGTGCTTGCCAGGCAAGCACTTATTCTACTGAGCTGTCTCCCCAACCCCAGGTATCCTCTTAGACTGGGGGGAAGTGGGGGCTAACAGCACATAAAAGGCTTAAAAGGCTCAGTGGCACATAACTGTAGGTCCTGTTACTCAAGAGGACTGCTTGAGTCCAGGAGTTCAATACAGTAAAAAACCCATTGCAAAAAAGAAAAAAATATATATATAAAAAAGAAAAAGGGGCTAGGAAGGCAGCTCA